TTTATTTATTACATGTCACCTATCTATAGTGAACATTATTATAATTAAAATGAACACACTTGTCAAGATACTGATGAGTAGCTTCCGAGTTATCTCAGTTGGTAAGAGCATCGCTCTCTTGTGTGGGTGGTTCAAGCATCAGCCGGACCAACACTCAGGGTCTTCAAATAACTGAGGAGAAGGTGCTGCCTTTGTCTTTACATCGGCAAATGGTTAGACCTTCAAGTCTTCTTGAATAAGTACCAATTTTTCCAAATCTATAAGTGGGGGACATTTAGACAACTGTGAATTGTGAATTATAGAAATTCCTATTACTCATTGTTTTGTCATGTTTGATTCTGAAATTGAGATCAGAGACCAATTTTTTGATATTTTGTTTTATATTTCAGCCAAAACAAGGAAATCAGTGAAGCAGTTTTAATCAAGAAGTTGAGAAGTCAAGTCGCAAAACTAGCAAAAGACTTGGCTAATGTTAGACAAAATGTAAGTATACTGATTTCCAGCCCTCTATCCATCCCTTTATCCGTCCAACCATCCATCCATCCATCCATCCGTCTGTCTGTCCGTCCACCCACCCACCCACCCATCCATTCAGCCAGCCATCCATCCATCCATATTTCCCTCAATACTGCCCATTTTCATATCCCATAGCAGAATGGCCAAGCCAAGTCACCTCAACAAGAGACTGAGAAAGAATTGATTCAAGTCATTGATGGGTATATCGAAGGAAGGATTGTCGATCCAACTGCTTGTGGTATGTGTCAAAAGGAATATATTTTCTCATTACAGACCATGTGTAGTTCCCTAGAGTATCACTTTTTTCTTTAACAGTTGTGCATGAGAAGACACATGAATATGGATACAACTCAAACAAGGAATCTTATTCTCAAGACCATGTGTCATTCCCTTGAGTATCATTTCTTTGTTTAACAGTTGCACATGAGAAGACACATGAATATGGATACAACTCAAAGAATCTTATTCTCAAGGCCACGTGTCATTCCCTTGAGTATCATTTCTTTGTTTAACACGACCTACTCATTATTTATCTTCCTATAGGTATAGACAGCCCTCACAAAGTTCGTGCTTGCCTGGCGTACCTCAAGAACCTGCTTGTACGTAGAACACCAAGACTATCTGAGGATCCCACAAGCTCTGATGAAAAAGACAGCGGTGTAGGAATGAGCTATAATGAACCTTTAATAGCAGTCAGTAATGATAATACTGAAGAAGAGCCGAGTAGTCCTACAATGATAGGAACTGATAGTGGGTAAGTGTAATAATGATAGTGATGATTATGGTGGTGGTGATGGTGGTGGTGATGATGATAATGATGGTGGTGGGGATGATGGTGTTGGTGATGATGATGGTGATGATGGATGGTGATGATGATGATGGTGATGATGATGGTAATGATGATGGTGATGATGTTGATGGTGGTGATGAATGGTGATGATGATGGTGATGATGATGATGGTAATGATGTTGACTGTGGTGATGAATTGTGATGATGATGGTGATAATGATGGTGATGATGATGGTGATAATGATGGTGGGGATGATGATAATAATTATGATGGTGATGAATTGATGGCGATGATGAATGGTGATGATGATGATGATCCCTATTGTTGAAACCGTTTTTCTTTTAAGCATTTCCTTATTTTTAGATGTTTTTATATTTTATAATAAAGAACATTCCTTCTCTTTGTCACTTAATAGAGGAACAAGTGAAGAATCAATCCCCAGTCCCCTTCCTGTCACCCAAACTGAGGTTGTCATGAAGCAGCGCAGAGATGCCCAGCTAAATACCCCCTCTTTCAAACCCCCTCAAAAATTCTTTCCGACGATCAGCACCGAGACCACAAGTTGTTCCCCTGAACAGAAAATAAATGAAAACACAGAAAAGGGAAGTCGTAGTGTTAACACGCTGAGGGAAACAGACAAACAATTGATTCTTTTGGAGCTAGAGATCGAGAAAGAGAACTTGATGTAAGTGTCATCTTGTCTTAACTCAATATTTCCAATATTGATTCTATATGAAGTGAATAGTTGAATGATTAAATATTCTTATATGATTTGAGTGATGCATCTTCATACATGATATCAAAGTTTATACTCCCAATAYGATTTAGCAGGATTTAACAGTGCAAAAAAAATAGGGTGGTTTTGGCCCCAAAAATGGGGCCAACATTTTGACCCTATAGTGGCCTCCTTAARGTAGGGCTATTTTGGCACTACTGGTAGGGGCTATTTTTTAAGCTCTGATTTTGGGACTGTTTTAGCCTCTTATATGGATTTTCCCCCTGATTTGTCCTAGTTGAGGGGGCAAAAACAGTACCGATAGACCTATACCAAAATGGCTTCTGTGGGGCCAAAATGGCATGGTTCTATTTTGGCTCGAGCCTGGGCTAAAACAGCACTACTTTGAAAAAGCCAAAATCGCTCTCTGGGGCCAAGTTGGTCCTCTCCAATTTACTGGTATTTCCAGGAAAATCTTGAAGCACAGTAGAGAATCAAGGAACAACTCTTCTCAAATATGACACCTAGCAAGGCGGGATTCGAACGTGGTTTGCATTGTTGTTGCCTGGCTTCCCAGTGATGCAATCAAATCAGCGGTATCGATTGTTATCRATTTATCAATTGGCAAAATCGATATCGATTTTTATCGATTGACTACTCCGGGTGCATATGAAAGCCATTTGGCAGACAGTGTGATACTTGCATGGCTTTCTTCTCAACCAATGAAAATCCTCTGTGCCAAAAATGACGAATGTCTTTTTTTTCAGTCAAAAGAGTAAGTTACTGAATACAGCACTTGCAAATCAGAAGGCACGCGTTGTCATCATGGAGAAACAGGGCTGCCCGATGGATGAACTTGATAATGAGAGACTTGCAGAGCAGCAACTGAGAAGGAAACAGGTAACCCAACCAGTATTTTAAATCATATGACACAGGTAACCCAACCAGTATTTTAAATCATGACACAGGTAACCCAACCAGTATTTTAAATCATATGACACAGGTAACCCAACCAGTATTTTAAATCATATGAAACAGGTAACCCAACTAGTATTTCAAATCATATGACACAGGTAACCCAACCAGTATTTTAAATCATATGACACAGGTAACCCAACCAGTATTTTAAATCATATGAAACAGGTAACCCAACTAGTATTTCAAATCATATGATACAGGTAACCCAACTAGTATTTTAAATCATATGACGCAGGTAACCCAACTAGTATTTTAAATCATATGACACAGGTAACCCAACCAGTATTTTAAATCATATGACACAGTTAACCCAACCAGTATCTTGAGCAGTATAGAAGTGATCCCAAAGAACCAATGATCGTGCAAGCACAAGAAAATTTTCAAGGAAAGCGTTTTGTTAATAAGTAAATAATATTTTACAAATGCGAGATTCTATTTTTTGTAAAAAGTTTAACTCTTCAAATGAGTTTGCGATGCGCTCTAAGAAAACACAGGTATCCCATAAAGTATTGTTTAAATGCATGTTTTTTCATTCTCAGGCTGAAGTTGAAAAATTATTGTCAAATATTATGAAGAACATTCTTGATACTAAATCCATCAATACCGCTAATGGTGTTACCGCTGACCAGAATATCGATGGATCGGGGATTCAAGGTCAAAGTTCCGAGGTAATACAGGTTTTTCCCCTTACCCCTCCCTCAAGAGAAATAATTTTGCCTATTTTTAAATTAGATTAAAGTTTTCAAGGGTGGAATTGGGCGGCTCGTGCCTCTTATTTTTCATGGTGATTTTTACGTCAGTTTTAACGAAAATTAATCATTCAGTTCACAGAAGACCTTTAAAGGTATTTTAATGCGCTAGCTTTGCTATTGATCTCAGATTGATCCGCAAGTTTACCAACGTCGCAAGTTAGAGCTTAAAGAACATTCTACGAGGCTTCGGCTGCTGACCTGTAGGCAAAAACTCGATCGTGGGCTCATATCCACAGGAAGCCCACAAACAGTTTCAAAAGAGACAGAATCCAATCCATCTGAGTCATGTGGARGCGAAAGAAACACAAGGGAAACAAGCCCCTTGAACTCATCGGATGAATCTGTATCTGTCAAAGTGATCGACGTCACGTCCAGGAATGAAAGACGTCCGTCCTTTAGGTCACGTGGAAGACTCCCTAGTGCTCGGGCCCAGTCTTCCATGAGCACAAAGGCAACAACAACGACGGAAAATAAGCGAAAAAGCAAATTTGGTGTTTTGAATTTTAGATCTGGATCAAACAGGCAACCCAGAGGACTACAAGTAAATTCCCAAAGATCTGCCAGGAAATCACACATGAATTCTAACAGGCAATCCTATGCGTCGCCTAGCAACGGGAGAACCAGTCAACAATCCCATGCGTCGCCTAGCAACGGGAGAACCAGTCGACAATCCTATGTGTTACCTAGCAAAGGAAGGTTTAGTCGGCAGTTCCGGGTATCTCCTAGCAACAGCCAAAGCACTTCTCCATCTGGAGGAAATCAAGCCTACGGGAATCCTGTGGATCGCTCACGGCTGATGAGACCAGTTGGAAATCCAGACGCCGTACAAAGAATTGACGGAGCAACTGTTATTGGGCCTGGGTGTTTACGGACTCGCCGCCCTGCCACGTGCTCTCCCGCCCTCGTGACGAACAAGCGACCAATAAAAAGATATCCTCGACCTGGTTCAAGCAGTGTGCATTATCAGTTTGATCAAAGCAAAGGCTTCATTGTCCGCACAAACGAAGACGTGTATCGCGCTTCGAACTTTCGACAGCCCGTCCAAGATGACCTAGGTGTCCAGTTTCTTGACATTAAAGGAAATGTTAGTCAACAGTCGTCACGAGGCACTTCTCCTGTCAGTCCTAAAAGGGATCTGGCTCTAGAACAGGAAGGTGACGTCATTTCTATGTCACATGATAGGGAGAGGTTGCCTCCTATTGTTTCTGCAGTTGCAAAAGACGAAGAAGAAACAATGGAGTCACATTTGCAAAGTCAAAGAACTCAAATGGATTCCGAAAAAGCTCCAGAAAAGGAATTTCTTAAAGGAACGGAATCCGACACTCCACAAAAGCTCCTTAATGATAATGAGCCTAAGAGGGAACTTATGGTTCAACGTCTCGTGCCCCCTACTGTTATTAGTGCTCGGAAGCAACAGATGGAGAGAGCGAGGCGCATTCGACAAGTTACAAGTGCTGTTGAAGTGATTCAGGATGCTTATAGACGTTATATATGGCGCAAAACCAAAGCCATTCAACCTGTTAGTGGATAAAATTCCCCTTATTAGATAAATACCTCTTTATTTTTATTACTGAAGACTCGTCTGTACAGGCTTAGCCTCGTTTAAGAGCAAATTTCAACTTTCAAAAAGTCAACTTTAATGTAAAGTATGTACAGCTTGAACAATACCAATGCTTTGAAATCACACGGTTATTTAATGATATCTGTGAATAGCTGACTTCAAAACGAGGCAAAACCTGTGCAAATGAGTCTGTGGTCTTCAAAAACAGCGGTTTGCATCGAATGCGAAACTGGGGTACTAATGATATGTTGTTTGCAACTGCGATACGCTAATTCCCGGCATAGCGGTGTCAAATGTTTGTGCATGCGTAATGTGAAGATTTTTTATCAGGGCGATCACAAAATTCTTCTATCTGCGCATGATCTATAAAATATTGAATAGACCGAAATTATGAATATTAATATATCTTAAGCTTTTAAATTTTTGAAAAGAGTTTATAGAAGGCAAGAGACTAGGTCGAGTCAGCTGAGCAAGCGCTGTGTTCAGTTCATTACATGAGTTGGTTTCTGGTTCTTAGGATTTCCCAGAGCCGGAGATTTCCGTGAAATCAGTACTGGTCTGTGTAGAAGAGTGTGCATGCGCTGTGAAGACATAGTGCAAAGATTTTGGCTCCCGATATTTTATGTTTTCCCACAGGAAGCCCAAGCAAGGCATCTTCGTACATTACTGTAAGAATAGATCTAGGAGAGAAGTTAAAATGGTACGGCCTTTTGAATTCCATATACGTCATGCTTTGCGGCCGTGGCTCGTACTTAGTCTCCCCAACTCGTCCCAGTCCCCGGCCAACTGTTTCTATTGCGAGTTCTGGTTAAAATTATTTGTAGCTTCTTTTCCAATCTTTATTAGTCTTATTTTTTGTCCTATGTTCACTTCTAAGCCGGAAGTAGTCATCAAATGACTCGTACACTTCCGGCGTAAATGCACGACCAAGTCGATTATTTATAAACTAAACTATTCAGTAGTAGTAATCTCATAAAATCGAGTTTTAAACTCTATATCTGTACCGCAAAATATCGGAGTAAAATTATTTGTCGGAAGTCAAAGAGGTTCTCATTTGTGATTTGCACAATAAGCCTTTTCATAGTTTAAGAATCGATTCCACTGCGCATGCGATTTTATCCCGAATTCTCACCTTTTGTTTAATTAAGGTGGCTGCCTACTTTTGAACGTTCGAATTGAGCCCACGATGAGCGCGCGCTCAAAAACCGCTGAAAAATCTACAAGATTTTATTGAAGAACCATACGCGTTTTGAGCTTCAACAGGGCAAAACCCTCAAATTTTGCACGGGACTCTATATTTTTTAATACCGCATTTGAAAAAACTCCTAAAAATCTAGGTTATATCAACATTTTAGAAAAAGTTTAAATCAGTAACACATGAAAAAATAGAT